AAAATTTGTATGTGAATCAATAATCAAATTCCATATGTAAGCCGTAAACGCTATATTTAATGTTACACGCGCACGCGTGCTCGTGCACACACACACACACACACACACACACACACACACACACACACACACACACACACACGCACGCACGCACGCACGCACGCACGACGCGCGCGCGCACGCACGACACGCGACACACACACACAACACACACACACACACACACACAAAAGAATGCGTACAATTATATTTTTTACTTTATTTCAATATTATAGTCCCACAAAACCATAGAAAAAGGATTATTGCATTAATATTTTTTAAATTCTATTTTACAATAGGAAAAATTTAATCATAAAGATGATATGGATATATAAGCATCCAAATTAAGAGAAAGATCTATACGAGAAATGTGAGAAATTTCGATACAGAGCTGTAGTTTTTTTTAGAAAGCAAAATTTTGGAATTGATCCTTGATTCAAGACATGCAATAACTATCAGCTAAATATCCGATGAAACTAGTCAATTAGTAAACTAATCAACTAGTAAAAATATAAGCAAAAAAGATGCACAGGCTATCGTAAACAGGTTTACGATAAATGTCAATGATATTCCATTCCTTTTCGGAAGAAAATGTATAAAAGCAGCGGCACTAATCGACAATACATAACTACTACGCCAGCGATTCGAAGAGCCAATAGAAAATACTTACGGATTAGCCAATTGGAACCAAGAATCTTCTTCATATCATGTAAGTTATCTACTCGCTTATCATTCTACTTGCTACTAGTGAGTGACATGAACAGATCGGTGAGTTGAACAAGTTATTTGAAACTATTTAATCAAATCTCAAATTATTCCTCTAATTATCTCAAAAATTGAAAATCTTGACAAATTTTGATAAAGTTTGACGTTATATTAAATTTATACTTTTAATTATTTATACTTATAATTTTGACAAAGTTTGACGTTATATTAAATTTATACTTAATCATCGGTTCGCATTTAGACCCGATCCGACACGACCCGACCTCGCGCGTGCCGTTTAGCACTGAGACTGTGATATATCATGTCTCCTGTATTTTAAAGTTCATTTACAAGTGGCAAGTATCATTTGACAATACAACGTTAAGATCATATGCATGAATGTAGTAAATATAGACTGTGCATTCTAATTTTAGATGTCCCGTAAGTTATATATAATGTGCATGATTTATTATTTTGCCCTCCTGAATGTTAAGAATGAAATGTTACATCATATGCATCATGCAAAAAATGGAATGCGCTTATTACGGCTATGATTTTAAGTGAACTCTTCCTCCAGCTATATTGACAGATTATATTTATTTTATTATATTTCAAGTGATAATTTTTTGATAAGAGAAACACTTACAAACGATTTGACGATAGGCTACTATGGTGAAGGTAATATTTGTGGTTCTATACTTAATTATTACAAAAGCTATTCTTAAATTTGTTAGAATAATTTACACCGACATCTAACTTTTAATAAATTCTAATTTAGACATTATATTAAAAATCTTACAAAGAATTCAGGAGAAACATCTTCGATGTTATGCAATTTTTAATCTTTGATACTGTACTTTGTACGTGATGCTGTTTTTCTAATTGTTTCTATTCTACTAAGCCGCGGTGATTTTCCAGCGTATTATAATTCATTAATCATTTCTAGTTTAAGAAAAATTTGGTTATTTTCCTTAGAAAAATCTTTCGTTTACTATTCAATATAAAAAAACTAGAAAATATCTGCTCTATATCATTTGATTTCGAACACGTTTGAGTGAAAATTTAAACAATTTAAGATTGTGACGTTATGTACATAGTTATTCACATACCTTACATTCAACAATTCCAAGGATTGTACGAAGAATATATCATATCAAAAGACACGGTCGTGTCTGGGCACTAAAGAGTACTCGCAAGATAGATTGAAATTATTAATCATTTATTACATTGAAATGCACAATATTAAATAAATATAAATAATTAAACAGTTACACAAAATTAACGTTTAATACTATTATATTGTTTTAATTATGCTAAATTAGCCATGTTAATATTATTTTATTGTTTGCTATAATACTCATAAAATAATGAATATATCAAATAAAACACAAATTTAAAATAAAACTACATCCATGTTAATAATTTGCAAGATTTTTTAAAACAAATCTGTTATTAAATGTTATATATATAAGAAAAGGTAAATAATTTTTTGTTTTTATAATAAATAGTATGTACAATAAATTATAATTTACTATTACATAAGACACAATATATTTATCTTAATTTAAATTTAAAATAAATTAATTTAGTTTTTTAAATACAAATATTTAAATTAAGTAAAACGTAATAATGTTTATTAATACACATTATTATCTTGTTATATATAATTTACATATTTGTTGTTATTTATTATATGTAATTTGCATATTAAGGTAAAAGCAAAACGTTATTACATCATCACATTTTTTTAAACTTATCTTCGTTATTAACTCTCAAAAAAATAATCTAACAAATTTAACAGATTTTCTAGTAATATTAAATTACTCATACATTTTGTTTTTTCATAATTTATATAAACAATTGTCTCTGATAATAATGTCTGAATTATTACTTTAAAATAGAATAACTTTTATAGTTTTTTAATAATTAATTTTATAATACACTTTTATAATTTTCTTTACTACCAATAAAATTTCTACATAATCTTAGATTACAAGAATAAACATTAATTGAATTACATTTCATGCGATGTAACAATAAAGCAGCAAAAAGTATGAGATTAATCTTAAGTTAAATGAGTAATTACTTCCTAGTAGTCTTCCTAGAGACAGTAATAAGAAAAAGCATATGCAATTGTATTTGATTCTATAGCTTTTCTTCTATGTAATATATCTTAAATAGTAATTAGATAATAACTCAATTTATAACGCGAGCAAAAAATACAAATATTTCATTATTCCAGTTACATTGCAAAGATGCCAAAAAGTATTGTGACATTTTTAATATTTTATTTATATTTTTACGTTCATTTTTTTATAATAGAAAATCTCTTAAAAAATTACGTAGTTAATTTTAAAGAACTTTATAATTTTATGTATATGTTGCTATTATTATAAAGATACACATTCTAAAAACTATCTCAGAAAATAACAAGATATAAGTTAATATTAAGATCTTCTCTCATCGAAAATTATTGAGGTAAAATATTAATTTTTTTCTTATTTGTTTTTATTTATTGAATGAGCATACTCGCTGGAATAGGTAAAATTTTACGTAAAAATTTTAACTTATTAAGAAATAATCGCTAAACTTTAAATAGTAGTTTTCAGAATGTAGTTTTTTGAATTTATGTTGTACAATAATTCGTGAACATTGAAATATCAAACTAAATCAAAGTTTATTTTGTTCCTGATAATTTGTTGCAAATATATGTAAAACCAACCAAATTTAAGAAAAAAATTTGTTAAACAATAATTTTTATACAAAGAATGTGAAGGAAATATAACAAAAATGCAAACCGGTTTTCTCAATAATAAACAATTATTATAAAGGCAATTGTTCTTATACTGTTAATGAAACATTTGATCATGTACAATATAAAACAGATATTTAAGATATTTTTTTACATTATTTGTCTCATCGCTATATAGTGCCAAATAATTTTAAAAGAGAAATTTGAATACGTTAAAAAGAAAATGTGTGGGTGTGTGTGTGCTCGCGCGCGCGTGTTATTAAACATAACCTTTATAATTCAAAATATATAAATAAAAAAACTTAATCTCTTCTCTATTGCATTGTTTCTAAAAAATGCTTAAAAACTTCGTTCCTCAGGTTGTGCCTCTTCACACTCTTTACAATATGTATGTCGCAATAAATATTAGATAATATATTTGTGTGCCAGTCAATGTATTTATGTAGAAAAGTACTAAAGTGAGATTTAGCAATGAGATATATATACATATATATTAAATGCGTTGCTAAATCTCATACTTTAGTACATTTCTACATAAATCATTGACAGGCACATATACAAATATATTATCTAATACCTATTGCGACATAGCATATTGTGAAGAATATGCAGAGGCACAACCTGCAGTGTCATCACTTCTAACCTAACTATACAGGGTGTAACTTAAATGACGACCACTAAGTATATAGCGCTATTCCTGATAAAAAATGGAGTCAAAAAGTCTTAAGCCTATTTTTTCTACAATTCTTAATTATACAGTTATTCCTCTAGTTAAACTAATCCAATCGGCGCCGTTCTTTAGACGGACGCACATCAGTGAACCGCGAATGCAGTAGTGTGAGTGAACATAGCGGCGTGACGCGCGGCGGATCGCTCACGCACACTACTACGCGTGCGGCTCACTGATGTGCGCCTGTCTAAAAAACGGCGTAGATTGGATTAGTTTAACTTGGGAATAACTGCATAATTAAGAATTATAGAAAAAAATGGTTCAGGACTTTCTGACTCAATTTTTTATCAGGAATAACGCTATATGATTAGTGGTCGTTATTTAAGTTACACCCTGTATAGTAGTAACGATAAACAACTTACAGAGTATCTCGGTTAATATACGACTCTCGCTATCATTTTTTCCAATGCTAATCAGTTTGATCTCAATACATCACTGTATCATATATATGTTACGTTAAGTGAGACAATGCGTAATATGTATGGTGAATTTTTGGACAATTCCCGATCGCACGTACGACTAGCGCGGTGCGGGCGGTGCGGCGCGGCGGCGCGACGCGAATATTTAAAGTAAAGACTTATCTTATTCAGGGTTGGATAAGTTAATATATTTTTTAACTAAGTTAAGTTAGAGTTAACAGTCTAAAAATTTAACTTAGTTAAGATACAAGTTAGTCCATAATAAAATTAATTGAGTGAAAAGTTAAGTTAATAAAAAAAAGTAATTAAAAAGTTAAAGTTAAATTTTTTCATTTTATAATTTTAGGGTTTTTAAATAAAGTTTCTAAATAAAGTATATAGGGTGATTTTTTTAACCTGAAACTTTCAATATCTCGAAAAATAAGCACACTAAGAAAAAATGTTTCAGACAAAAGTTGTAGGGATTCGAGGGGGACATAAGATGATAACATTGGTTTGACCCTGAGTGGCGTCGTCAAGGTCAGGACAAGGTCACTTTGAATTTTTTAAATAGAACCCCCAATTTTTCATTACATGTTCTTATAGCACGTCTCGAGAACTTTCCAAAACACAGAAATAAAATATTTTTTTATGAAATAAATCTTGAGTTATGAAGCTTGAAAGTTGAAGTATTGTCGGCATTAGCATA